GCCACCCAAAATGAAGAAAATTTCCAACTTCTATAACACCCCATTCTGCTTGAAATCCCCAAATCCCTGAAGCCAAGCTCAAGCCTCATCCCCTGCTTTCCAAACATAACGCTATAAGCGCTCAGCCTAACTCTTGTCTTGCTCAAGTTTCATTTGAAGTCCTTTCAGTTGCTGGAAAGTTGGTTTCAAGGTTGTACACGAGAGGTAAGCTTCTCATTCCACTCTCTCTGCTTTTAATTTAATTTTAGATTGCTTAAAGTCCTAAAATCCTAGGAAACTTGCATTCCCAGCTTCCTCTAGATTGAGAAGAAGAGGTAGAGAGGCGAGGGTCTTAAGGAAACCAATACCTAAGACCCGATAATATCACATCAAATCAATTCTGGGCGAAGTTGGGAACATTTTTACTGGATCTAAGGAGCTTTGAGCAATCTTGTTAATGTGTGTTTTTTCTAGAATTTGAGCTTGAACTTCTCCCATTTTGGGTTTCTACAGTAGCTTGGAGAGAGGGGTTCCTAACACCTTCCCTCTCCCAATCCTTTGAATCCAAAATCTCTCGATTAAGTGCTTTCCTTGGTTAAGGATGAAATCACTATCAAAGGCTTAATTTGAATCTTTCCAAGCCAAAAAATGAGGGCTCATTTCCTCTAAAAAAATGGGTGGCGACTACAATTCTTTGAACCAGCCATGAGATTCCCAGAGCTGACACCGTACTACCCCCACTCCATACCTCATTAGAAATTTCATCGAGAGGTAGTAGGTCAACACTACTGAATGAAGGGCATGCAAGATGAGCCGACCTAAGATGGCATTGTAGGGGGACGGGGTGGAAACCACTAGGAAGGTGTGCTCGAACTGGACAATGTTAGGCGATCATTCTGTTGCTACCGACACTTTAATCTTGCTGAGGAGCTTCACCACGCTTCTACTGAAACCGACCAGGGGCATGTTTGATTTCTGAAGATCCTTCTAGTCCAACTTCATCTTCTCGAATGCCTCTAGGAATAGGATGTCCGTCGGATTGCTTGAGTCCACCAGAATCTGCTTTACCTCGAAGTTGTTGATGACCATCTTGACAATGAGGGCGTCGTCATGTGGATACTGGATACTACGAGCGTCATCCTCGGTGAAATATAAGACTTCCTCCATTCGAGGGTCCTTTGATGGGTTCTTGTCTTCGTGCTCCAGCTCCTAGCCTGCATTCTTACTCGCTGCCATGCTGCAACCTGCTACTACCGATCCACTGGTGATCATGTTAATCACCCCGCGAATCGGTCTTTCTGGTGTTGGTGGATCCCGGGGTGGTTGATCTTTGTTGTTCCACCTTCTTGTCTCTGGTGCATCTCTACAATGCTCGGGAGGTTGATGATCCCTATCATCATGTTTGATGAACTACCTGAGGTAACCACGATGGATTAGTTCCTCGACCTCGTCCTTCAGGTTTTGGCAGCTCTTTGTGTCATGCCCAACGTCACGGTGGAGGTGATAGTATCGGTTAGGGTTGCGGTTGGTGAGGTCTCCTATCATCCTGGACGGCCACTTGACGTAGCTAGCTTCCTTTATTTACATAAATCTTGCCCTGTTTTGCATTCAGGGCAATGTAGTTTTGGTTCTGGACTAGGGGGTTCTGAATCACCGAATCTGATGTAGAATCCCGAGGTGGTGACCGACTCTTTTTGGGTGATCTGCTTTGCCTCCTACACGGTGACCTGATTCTCTTGGCGATTTACTCCTTCGCTGCTGGTGCTTATTGCTACTTCTTTCTTCTTCTATTCTCTTCCTTTTCCTGGCCTGTTATAGCTCTAATCGGGATCCTAGAGCCTCCTCCACCTTGATGAACTTGTCGGCTTCTGTGAGGAACACCTCCATGAAAGTTGGGGGGTTCAACTCAAGTTGCCAACGAAGGTCGGGGTGGTAGACTCCCTTTATTGCCACGGTGAGCTGTACAACTAGGTTATGGTTTGGTACCTGGAGTCTTTCAAGGTTGAACCTTCTGATGTAGAAAACCTTAGAGACTCATTTTCCTGCTGGACCACATTCAATAGGCTCGTCACTGATTTTGGGCACTTCTTGCTCGTAGCGAAGTGTGTGGTGAAGAGTTCCACGAACTATCTCCAATTATTTATTGAACTAGGAGGCAGTCCTTGGTACCATAGTTTTTCCATATCTCTGAAGGTCATAGAGAAGGCCATACAAAGGCGGGCGTCATCTGCCCCATGGAGTAGAATCAAAGACTAGAATCTTTCACTGTGATCATTGGGATCATTTGTTCCATCGTAGGTCTCCAAGGCGGGCGCTTTAAATTTCTTTGGTCACGGGGCCGCGAGGATCTTTGGTGCCAGGGGGAAGAGCGACTCCATGGAATCGGGATTAGCTGGACAACAACCGAGCTGACTTTTTCTTTCTTTTCTTTCTCGGCCTCCACAGTAGGGGCAACACTGCTCTTTGCAGTGGTGGGGCGTGCACGTCTGCGGCGTTGCTTCTCTATCACTTCATTGGTGTTATTGGCCTTTGTGTGTGCTAGAGTTGCGACCTTGGTGTTTTCTCGGGCAGAGGCCAGGTCCCGATTGTCTAGGTGGTAGGATGGGTCCGGGGCCGGGTCCCTACTCCTCACACTAGGTTGTTGGTTGCTAGGCTGCCGATCATTCTATTGGTGGCGATTCTGGTCATTCTCCGGATGGTGRTGTTGGTCATTCTAATGATTGTTCTCTTGCTGGTTGTTCCATTGGTCGATCGCAAGAGCTTGGGGTGGCGACGGATGTCGGGGAGGTGTTGGACCCCGAGGTGGTGTTGGGCTCCAAGGTGGTGTTGGGCCCCAAGGCAGTGATGGAAGCTGGGGTTGCCAGTGCTGTTGGGGCTGCTGCTGCAGCATAAATGCTCTGAACCTCTCCTCCCATGCGCGTATCTAAAGGTTCATACTTCTCACATACTACACCATCTCATAGAATTGYCGTGCGTCTATCCCAGCGGGAACCATAGAAGGCTCTACCGCTTGGAGAGGGGCATTGACATGAGGTAGTGGCGCATTTACCTGCTGCAGTAGGAACACTAGATTTGGCATAACTGGTACTCCTGGAAGAGTCAAGGGCACAGTGATTTACCTGATCGTCATGGAGGGGATCTCTGGGTTCATCGTGGGCTGGTCTTGCCCCTAGTGGCTGGTACTTCAATGTTCTTGTTGTTGGTGTTGATGGAAGATGCCATTGAATGTATGAGCGTAAAAGACTAAAAGTAGGAACTTAATTTTTTGTTGCGTTTCCCATAGACGATGCCAATTGATGGGGCACGATCTGGTTGCTCCTAGTTGGAGGGCAGTTCGGACGTCGGTCCGCTTAGTTAGCCAATCGAACTACAAAAAAGCAAACTTAGAGGACTCGGGGTGGCTTACCCGGTGTGGGTGCTCCAATGCTTAAGTTAGTAATTGTATGTAATTTGAAGGTTTGTAAGTTAGAGGGCTAGTGAGCAATATTCATGCATACCTTATGGCATTGGGATTGGTGCCCTTATATAGGTAAGCTGCCGTAGGTCTTACAAAACACCTCCAAGATCCCCTGACTTGTGCTACTAGGAATCTGTTCTGCACTTGGAGGTGGACTTTGTGTGAGCTAATAAAGTTTATTGAGTCTTTCCGATCCGGGCATCATGATCCTAGAGAGGTTGGAGATAGCTGGCTAGCTTCTAGAAGTTGGCTATGTGTCACCTCGGCAGGTTGGGCCATCATAAGCTGCTCAGACCTCGTCTTAGCCAAGGTGCCCGAGGTACCCGAGCTGACCTGGCCTACCAAGGTGGCAAGAAATGCTGAGTCATCATCCATGTCATCAGATCGATCTACGTGTTCGTGTGTTGACAGATAGGGCCAAATTACCCCTCATCAATAAGTAATTTTATTAATGATGACGATGGAATATAAAATTTAAAATCAACCTAGAAATAAAACCATTTTACTATTTGGGTGGTGGTTTAGTAGTTTGAGTCAAATGGATCAACCCATGATTTGATTGTTAAATAATAAAACTTTTAAAAATATAAAATCATAAAAATGTAAAAGATAGAAAATTTTGGACATATCTCTAATATTAAATATTAATTATATCAAATAAAAATTAAGTGTGATAGGCAAAAACTATTTTTATAAAAGTAAGTGAAATATAATTTAAAACTGATACGGAAACAAAGTTGTTTTCTTATCTAAAAACAAAAATTTGGGTCAATGGTCGGACTTTTCATGTCAAACTATGATGCCATAATTAAATATTAAATATTTAAAAAGATACGACACAAAACTGAATAAGTGTAGAATTTTATAGAAAATATTAGACACATCTCTAATGTTATATATTTATCATATTAAACAAAAATAGTTGTGAAAATAAATATTATTTTTATTAATGATGAAATAGAATACAAAATTTTAATATCATCCCAAATTCAAAATGGTTTTTCCATCCCGATGGTGGATGAATAATTCAATCATATAARTCAAATGGGTCAACCTACAATGTCATAATTCCAACAATAAAGCTTAAAAATAAATAGAAAAACAGAAGGTTTGCAATAATAGAAAATTTGTAGAATATGTGGGTACACTATCATAAAACAGATATTGGCGTTAGTTTTGGTGGAAATCATAAAAGTTAATTTGGTTATATAGCGTTAGCTTATATCTTTACCATTTATTTGCATACGTGCATAACATGTGCCCTGACACTAGTGGTTATCATTTTTATAATGCCGGTTGATTGGTTATAAATTTTGTCTGTATCCTATCTCGAAAATCATTAGATATTTTGGACGGAGCCCTGACTGTCAAACTGGGACAATATTGACCCAAACTCAGTCTGAGGACAACCTTTGGCTCATATTTTGGCCCTAGTCCAACCATGGTTCTCTTAGGCCAGACCTGGGCTGGGTTGGTCCAGCCGAGCTATCTAGGCCCAATTCCCAACTCCAGCAAAATTCCAAAATAATCACATGGAATAGAATCTGTAACTAACTTCCTTCTGATGTAATTATAACTCATGTTGGTTCTATAAACATTGCATTTCACTCTTTTATGACTATATTGAAATATATAATACAAATCACATTGAATACACACATGTGAGAAGGTACAAAGAAATGAAAAGTGGGTGAGAGTAGGGGAAATGCAATATTTTCAGTGCATTGAAACGGAAACCTCATCTGCTCGCTTGTTTATGCGGATTTGAAAGCCATTCACTAATCTAGCAGAAGGAAAGAATGACATCCGGTCCTCCTTAATCTGGGTCCACCTGATCAAACCATCAAATGCAAAATTAGTTGAAAGAGAGAGAGAGTATGATTTTCAAAATCGGACTGAACCGAATAGTTGGACCGGAAAAACTGAGAACCGGTCAGTTGATTTAGTTAGCAAACCGCTGACTCAGGCGGKCGAACTATTCGAACAGTTTGACCAGTTTTTATTTTTTAATTTTTTTTGTCAGAACAAGCCATCAGTTTGATTCAAATGGTCGGACTGTTCGACCTGAGAACCAGACCCCTGACTAATTCAATGTCCGATTCAATTTTAAAAACCTTGAGTGAGAGAGAGATTTAGATTTTACCTGTATTGGGTGACGAAGTAATGGAGAAAAAGAGCAATTTGAAGTCTAGCCAACTCAGATCCAGGACAAAATCGAGCACCACCCCCAAATGGAGTATAGAAGGGGCTACTTCTCCAATTTCTCTTTTCCTTCACTCAACATGAGCCACTAACATTAGATGGGAAACAACTCTTGTTTTCTTTCTATGTATGCAATGGATGAATTAAATGTCTATGTATTTGCATTGCATGCATGCATGCATGTATGTGAGTGTTTGTATTTGTGTGCACTGCAATTCCATTTTCATTTGTACTAATACAAATGTATGAGTGTGTAAATGACAAGAATGCAAATGTTGGCTCACTTTTACTTTGGATTTTACTTTTCCCTTTTCCGGTTTTATTTTATCTTATCTGGACTGCAAATAAACAAATTAAAGCAAAATTTGAAAAATTTGTGAACAATCATTTATATATTCCCATACTTTTGCACCAATGCAAATGAAATTGCACTGCAAATAAACCTGACTTAGAAGAATGATTAATGGCAAACCAAAATTATGGAATGAGATCCAATCAAAAAGGTCGATCAAGGGGTTTTCAGAGCTAACCTGGTTTTCAGGGTCCATCCATCTCCAAGGATTGAAATTGAGAGCTCCTTTGTACAAGGTTTCATCCAAGTGGACTGCTGAAAGAAATGGAACTACAAAGCACCCTTTTGGAATGATAAAATCTGCCCAATAGACAGTAAATTAACCCGGGTTTTAACTTTTCATTATGAGATTATAAAAGAAAATCCTTATTAATATTAAGGCTGTATTTGGTTGCAGTGCAAATGCATAAGAGTACAAATGAAAAAAAATACAAATTCTTGTTTAACTGTGTTTTGAGTTTACTTTATTCTAATTTTTGTCGTAATTTACTTCATTTGTATTGTAATCAAACAAAATAAACTAAAATTTGAAAATCACGATTTACACTAATCATTTTCACTGCCATGATTTTGCCTAAATGAAAATTTATTTGAATTGCAATCAAACATTACCTATATTGAACCACATTGGTTGATAGCTATTGTATCAGTGAGTCACGGATATGTCAAATCTGCATCTTTTCAGAGTTTGACCTATTTCAGGGGGAAGAGTGTAGTACAAATACTGATACACCCCTTCCACTGTATCTCGGTGTGTCGATACTTCTAACCTTGATTAATACTAAGGGGGTGTGCTCCGGTGTAATTACATATATCTTTGTTATATATGTAACACATAAACAGAACCGTTGAGATTTAACTAAATTAAAGGTCAATACAAGCATGGCCCAATTGATTGAATAGTTGAGCCCAACCATCCATCTGCTATTGGGCTAAATTTGGGGACTCTTTACTTGTACTGGGGTCCTGGCCCATTATAGTTAATTAAGTATACATACCCAAGGTTCAGAATATTGTATCGTATTGGAAGCTGTCCGAAGACCCAAATAAGGGGTATTTCGAACTTTGACCATTTTCAGGGGTAGACATGCTTAAAACCGACCCCTGATACAATATGAAAAAAAAAAAAACTAAAAATGAGTTATTAAGTGTAAGGTGTCAACCAATTGGTTGGTAAGACCTCCTGCTAGTCCTAGCGGAGGTTTGGGATTGAATCTCTCTTGCACCTGAATTGGGGGGTGAATTACCTGATTGTGTAGCCCTTCAAAAGATATATATAAAAGAAAAAAAGAAGAATTATTATACATATCGGGTGTATCGATACTTTTAAAGTTTAAACCATACACATACCTTCATATTGAACTTCCACTTTTGCTTCTCTCATCAACCAAATTGCAATCCCCCCAAGTCGAAGAGTTTCATCAATGACCTGCATGCATGGGTTGCACAAGTTACAAATGGGTCATAAGGCTGTAGGAAACCAGACCCATCCAGATGACTGGACCGGGCCAACCTCAGGATATCAAATTCCGTTTCAAGCCGCAGGTGAAGGCGGGAATATTGGATCAATCCTTGGAAATTCATCCCAACAACTTAATTACCAGCTGTCTAGCTGGCACCATCTGCTCTGGATAAATTAAAAAATGGGTGACTTACTTGGACACTTATAGTTTTATAATATTTACTGAAACCTACCCTCTAGTTTGTGTACAATATTAAAACACTTTCTATAATTTACAAATTACAACTACTTTAATGGAATATTTATATGATTTCTCTTAAAATGAGTGAAAAGCGTGAAAGGGCATGGATCGAGAGTTTTTTATTCCAAAAATACCCTTAAAAGTTCTTATATTATATGCACTCCGTGACTTCTCTAGACTGAGTTATAGTGTGGAAGTGGGAGATTATTTGTTTAGAACTGAAAAATCAAACTGAAAATTTTGGTTTTAGATTTTTCAGATTTTGATTAATTAAATTTCAGTCTCAGTTTTCAGAATTAGAAATTTAGTTAACTGAAGAAACCAAATTTTGTTATGTGATATATTATAATGAAATTTGGTTTTAACCGAAACAATCAAAGACTGAACTGAAAATTTTGTTTTTGGTAGTTTCAGTTTTCCTATAATTCAAATATGTCAATCCGATTTTCACTTTTTAATTTTCATTTATTTAGTTTGATTTTTAACCGATATGCTTACTCTAGTTTTGCTCCCTAAAGGTTGATAGGAGAACTATTGAAGTTTTACCAAAATTTTGATATGAGAACTATTGGAGTTTTACCAAAAAAAAAGTGAATTACTAGAGGTATTTTTGAAATAAAAAGCCCCTGGACAGTTTCTTATGAAAGGTGGATTAGGTAAAGTGGTTGCAAATTATAGGGACATTTTAGTAATATACAAATTTAAATTTAATTAGAGGGTAGGTTTTAGTCAAATATAAGAATTAATGCTCATGTAAATAACCCTTAAATAATTAAATGTATTGATCAAAAGCTGGACCAGCACTTTTCTTGAAAATTGGGTTAGAGCTCTCTGAAGTCTGATCTGATGACTTACACACTGGGTGAACGCCATTGATTTGTAATCTTCCCATGTAAGCATGACTGGATCATCTGAAGTAGCACTTCTTAGCTTATCTTGTTCTTCCTATTGAAACAAACGAGATGGGCGGAGGTTAAACTCAAGTCCACGTGATAAAAGAATTAGGATTCGCTTGGTTCACAGTAGGAATCAGAATCGGAGTGGTCTATTTACATTGAAATCAGTAGAAATGGGATTTAATTCTCAAGGGAGGGGTAGGGAATGGCCATTCCCTCAAATGGGAGAATGACATTCCAGTTCACAATTGTAATCAGAATCGGAGTATTCTGTTCACATTGAAATCAGTAGGAATGGGATTTCATTCTCAAGAGAGGGGTAGGGAATGGCCATTCCCTCAAATGGGAGAATGACATTCCAGTTCACAATTATAATCAGAATCGGAGTGGTCTATTCACATTGGAATCAGTAGGAATGGGATTTCATTCTCAAGGGAGGGGTAGAGAATGGCCACTCCCTCAAATGGGAGAAATAGAATGACATTCCAGCAAGAATTCTGCCCAACCAAACAGTTGGAATAGGGACCTATTGCTGTGAACCAAACAGGGCCTTCATTACAAATTACAATGTATATATAATACATATATATATATATATATATATATATATACCATTAGTTGATTCAAAGCCTTGGGAGACTGAGTGAGGAAATAAACAGCAAAGAGCATGGTCTTGGCCGTCGTTTCGTTTCCGGCGAAGAGCAGGTTAATGATGAAGTCTGCAATGGCCTCATCTGGTAGGCTCTCTTCTTCTATTAGTCTCCCCAGGACGCCATTGCTGCCTGATTCCGTTGCTGGTTGTTTCCTCTTCATGAATTCTATTTTCTTGTTGATCTTGTTAATGATAGTCTCCCTTGCCTGCAGCCACAGTTCATTTCCACAGAATGAAAGCAGAACGTACTACTTGATCAGTACTACTACTGTTTCTGTAATTTATTTTCAATTTTCTGGGTCATAACTATATGATACAGATGATGATCAAGGCTTTGAGTTTGAGAATAATTTTGAACCTGCATGGCAGTGTGGAAAGCAGAACCCGGAATCCTGATGGGAACAGAAAGACAACCATCAACGAAGTTGGAGAACAACTTTGCCATCTCATTTATTTCTGATTCACTCGATGTACCCAGAAGTTGATTAACCATCAAATGAATAGCCACCTGTACTAGTGAACATTAATCAACTTAATCAGTTCAGTTATCTTCACGAATATAAGCCTAATTTCAAGCATCTGATAGAATCTAGCCATCTTCATCCTTTTAATACCCTTTTACTTCTTGGTGAGTAATTAATGGGAACTTATTTCTATCTATTTCTTCAAATTGAACACTTGCTGGCAAATTAGCTTGGATCAGTCAGTCATTACTCTTGTGATTGATAAGCCCATTTGGAGATCATATCTCTGATCAATGGACTTGTTTCTCGGATGTGTTCAAGAAATAACAAAACAGAAGATTATAGGGCTGAAATAAGATCAGCTCTGGGACTGGCTCTGATTAATTTTCTAGCCTGAATATTATGTGTACCAACTTAACTGGGTGGAAGCTGTTATTAATCGGAAGAAGTAAGTGAAAGAAGACAGCTACTTGCCTTTCTGCAAACGTCTTGAAGAAGAATAACTTGATTGTTTTGGAAATTGTTCAAAGTCTGAAGCATAACCATCTGGATATCTGTCAAGAAATGGAGCTTAAGCTTCTCAAGCCTCATCATATTTGAAGCTATTCCATGGAGTTTTCTTTGTTGCTCTCCTTGGACAGTAATAACACCATTTTTTCCGACCAAATCTCTGAAAGACTTTGGGTAACTCGACTGGAACAGTTTTCCTTCGTTTTGCATTATGAACCGGTTAAAGGTGGAATCGGCTGAAACAATAGTCCATTTGCCAAAGAGGCTGCATGAGAAAATCCTTCCATACCTGCAGGCAAAATTAACTCAGTATTGAATTGAAATCCAGTTTTAAGAGAAAAGAAGAATCTCAAATTAATGGATGAGAGGTTGCTACAGAACTTATTCATTTTAATGATGAAGAAAGAATTTATTCATTTTAATTTCTTCTTTTTTTTTTTCTCTTCATCTGTTTTTTCCATACCTTTTCACCTGTTCTTCCACGAAACGAGGTGGATGAGAGCTTGCTACAGAACTGATCCAGTTAATGCTATCACCAAGCAATGGCCAACCTCTTCTCCCAGGCGGCAATTTTGAAGTTCTTCCATCAACTCTTTCTCTTCTATCTTTCAGAAGTTTTACAAGGAAGACAATGAGCAATAATGTTCCAATGGTCAATGACCAAGCAAGAGGAAAATTTTCTTCCATCTATAATTTCTTCCTAGATAGATAGCAGCTGAAACCTGAATAAATATATAACACAGTAATTATATCTCCTATTAAATATGAGAGTGGAGTCAAGTGTGAACAGAATATATAATGGCGTGTTGATGCAATCATCTTAGATTGATCAGGCTCTCTGTTAAGCAAACGAGATAGATTATTCAGTGGACATAAGATTATTTCAATAGAAAATAGGATTGCAGGTAACCTTAACGATTTTCTCTTATTTGAGATTGAGATCCACTGTCAACACCACTACACGTAAGAGTGAAAATAAATTATTATACATACATATTCCTGTAACAGAGCTCTAGTTTCATTCTTTTAATTTATGACTTGGGTTCTGTTTGTTTGCAGTGCAAATCTCAATTGGATACAGTTTTTGGTCTAAGAGTTCGGTTTTGCATCTATTTGTTTGTAGCTATGATTTGCACTCCTATCCGGTACAAAATTTGTACTTTTTATCTCATTTGCACTCATTTGTAGTGCGAAGTATGCATCCTAGGCTGTGTTTGAAAACGATGCAAAAAGGTGTGAATGCACATATGTAGAGTGTAAAACGGTCCATATAAATTGTAAAGTTGAGTTAGTTTTGTATTGACAAATTTACCTTCTTACCAAACAGACTTTTAGCTATAATGGATGAAACATGAATTCCAATAAAATATATGCCTTTTTTTTTATCAAAAGTGCACTTGAATGCAAATTTACTACTTTTTTATTGATGTACTTTTACATCTAATTATTGATATAAATATGCATCAGAAAACATGTTATTTGTCAATGCATAAATGCATTGTTACCAAACACAGTCAAAACTGAACCAGAATACAAATTTATCCTGAATCGGGATTTAAACTCTATTTACAAAATCGTTTCCAAACGCTGCCCTAGAAACAAATTTTTATCAAAATTTGTACTCTCAGTCTCTATCTCCATTAACTTTCATATGAAGTAGGAATCACTTTATTTCACTTGCTATTTCACTTTATACTCCCATGCATTTATACCAGTGCAATGAAATTTACATTCCAAACAAACTGAGCCTTAAGTGCTGTATTCTTGTACTCTATCTCTTCTTTTGTTTTATGTTACCTAATACATTCTTTCCTTGATGAACCAAAATTCCCAAAGATCAACAAAGAAACAATGACATGATCAATTATATTTTTATTGGTTAGTCCAGTGGAGGGAAAAAGAAAAAAAAATGAAGATTTCAGTAGATTAGAGAATGTAAGTAGTTGAAACTCATATATATATATATATATATATATATGCATCGTTACCTGACTGAAGTGGTAGACTCCAAGAACTTCAAGGTACAAACTTTCTTTAAAGGAAAGGCCGATCTCTATTTGACATTTAAGATTCAAAACGACATTGCTAGCTCAGGAACTTCTCTTCTTAATCTTTGATGAACAGAAAAATCAACCTGCTTCAAATTTATTACCAATGGAGAAGAGGTAAACCTGTAAGATATGTTCTCGGATGGAAGCCTAGAGAAGGCTATAAATTACTCCCTCCAAAGCTTCAATTTTTAGCTCAAAGTACCTCAGCTAGAGGAGAAGTACTACGAGAGAGGGGTGGTGGAGATTGGGTTTATATAGTTTTGAAGGACAAAATCTTCCTTTAGGCTATGTTTGGTTTAATAGAAAACAAGAGAAAAACATAAAGTTTGAGAGGAAAAATTCTTCACAGAATTTTGTGAAATTCATGAGAACTTTCCCTCAACTTATCAAACCAAACACAGCCTTATTGGTGTGTATATTTTAAGTTCAGCCGAAAGCATAAAAACTGGCGAATGATCTTTTGTTGGTTACATAATTAGTTTTTAAATAGAGTTGTGTCGATAGGGAATGCCACGTTTCGCTCCTTTATGGGTCCACACCTTCTAGTAATGGGCCACTAAGAGGTAAACAACAAATTAATTTTGAATGGTTGGAACTTGGAAACCCTAATTTTCAGGCTTCTGGTGAAAAACAAGGCCCAAGGCCCTGAATTCCTGCCGCTTCTTTCTTGGAAAAATCTTGGGGCTTGGATCTATTTGGTGGCCCATATTATGGCCTGGGGACTCCCATAATTTGGCACTTGTAACTTATGGGTTGGTGATTTAGCCTTCTACGGTTCTACCTTCTTTATTTATATCAGTAGTTTGTGTGTGTGAAGAGAGAGAGAATGAGAGGAGAAGCCTCCAGCTACAAAGGGATAACAGCAAAAGAAAAACAAACCAAACCCCAAAGCCAATGCCCAATCAAAATTCGATTATATATAAATAGAATGTAATTAATTAGGTTGGATCAATCATTGATCAGTTTTGTTTTACTCCAAAATCAATTTTGGCTAAAAACCGTTGATTTGGTCAATAAACCGTTGATTCGGATTATCGAATCGTTGACTTAGAAAACGGTTTTGGGTCATTTTTATTTATTTTTTAATTTTTTGTCAGAATGGATCGTCCATTTGATCCAAATGATTGGATCATTCGACCTAAAAACTGGACCCCATAATGGTTTCTTGTCCAGTCCATTTTTTAGAACCTTGGTATCAACCAAGGGGGTTCCAAAAACAAAACAAAACCAGTTAGTTTGAATACAACATTGGTTCTTAACAACAAAATCCGAAAAAATACAAATTCAATTTTTTTGAAGAAAAAAATAAAATACAAATTCTTGGATATACATATTTTTAATTTTAGGTTTAAAAAACGTGTTTTTACCTGGTTATTTGATATCATGTTTCATAAATCATATAATTTTTTTAATTATAAAATTTGTTTTATTTTTTAAAAAACATATTGTGTTTGTTGAAACAAATAAAAAACAATCTTCTGAAAGTGGAACACCCTCTATTTAAAAATCATTATTAGTTAAGCATTAATTACATGTGTGAATTAAATGAGTCAAACAGGAAACAGGAATGTAAGCTAGGCCTAGGCCAGGCGAAGCTAGTTTGAAGGGGCTCAAGATTTTGCAAGCAATAGCCACTCAGCCTGCATTTGTGTCTCAACCAAAGGGAACCAAGCTCCTTCCCGAGGACCAAAAATATTGCTTCTCATCAGTAGACTCTTGTGTTATTAAAAACAGGCAGCGAGGGTGGCATGTTTCGTGGCAGCAGCTAATTCCACCATATACTTCTATACTGCCTTTGACCTTCCTATTCTCAGATCTAGCTAGCTGCTACCCTGATAGATAGCTTTTGTTTTCAATTGTTGTTTTCTTGCTGGAACAGCACTTAAAGAGTTGGCAATGGCAATATTCCCCATTTTATATTTGTGTCAGTCCCGAGAAGGATACACGTGTGTTGCACGTGATAAGTATAATAGTATTGATCGATAGTATAATATTGGGAGAATGACCGATACTCCCAGTGCCAGAATTTGTAGGTTAAAAGTATATTTGGGTAGGTGTTAATTCGAAATTGATGTTAATTCACGGATGGGTATCAGTGCATAGGGTATGATTTTTGGACGTTTTAAATGTTTGTAGCTGTGTAGTGGGAATTAGATTTCTGCATTGGATGTATCCATACTTCTCCGTATAATATTCCCTTAGAACTGTCTTTTGGAATTTCATGATTTATGTTTAAGTTTTAGCATTTGGCCCTTCAACTCAAAGATAAATTAAGAGGTAGAAATTCACGTGACACTTGAATCCATATAAACATGGTTTTCAGAACTGGACCGGATTGGACTGGACAGTTGGACCAGAAAAATCGGGTATCTCATAATTGTTATTTCCTCAAAAACTGTTGATTTGGTCAGCAAACCGTTGACCCAGGCGGTTGAACCATTCAAACCATTCAATGGTTTGGCCGTTTTTATTTTTTTATTCTTTTTGTTAGAATAGATCGTTTGTTCGACTTGAACGGTCGAACCGTTTGATCCGGGAACTGGACCCCTGACCGATTCGGTTTTAAAAACCTTGCATATAAATTAAAAGGCCATTATCTTCCTTGTTTGTTAGTTATTTAATGATATTCATGATTTATAAAAGAAAAAAAAAAAGAAGAAAAGGCATTACCTAACATTGGTCCTAGTTAATTAGGTGTAAATCAACAAGGATAGGGGTAATCTGATAGTTTTGATTTTTGAAGAGTAGGTTGGCAGAAAGCTTAGAAAATGGCCAAGTCTGAGCAAAGGATTGGAATGCTAGGAAATTACAGAGAATTAGTTAAGGATTAAGTGGTCAAATGTCCCTCTAGAGGTTGTGATTCACCTATTTGTAGAAGCGGGGAAGTAGGCTACATGCATGGAAGTATGGAGTTGGAATATCCTCAACCTCATCCCTAACTAACATCTAGAAGATAGACCTTGCCTAGAGCACGATCTGAAGACCCTCTTGAGAAGTGATGCGTGTTAGTACGACCATTAGGTACAACCAACCTGGTTTCCCTAAGACAAAGATCATGTGTCTGACAGTTCTTAGAGCARTGCCTGAGTACTAAGCCTCTAATTTGGCCTCGTGAGATTGAATGTAGTTGTGAGATTGGTTATCGACTTCTGAGCATTGAGATTCTAATTTGTCTTGATGAGGTCGACCAGCTTCTGAGCATTAAGATTTTTATCCAGCCTTTCAAGGTCGATTGTAGTCGCAAGGTTGTATTGTCCAGAACAAGTTTATACTCTTGCACCAAGTTTTCACGGTGTCCACACAAGATTTTGCCTCGCAATTAACCTTGTGAGGTTCTTCTGTCAAGTTCCACTTAGCTTCATGAGGTCATGTCACTTTGTCTGTCTTGGTTAGCGAGGCAACCTTGCTCTATTGTGAGTGTTTTCCCATGAGGCCATTATCTTATTATTCGTTATTAGCTAGAATTTTACTTTATATATATATATATATATATATATACATGTTCGAAGGGTTAGAAGTTAGATTAAGCATGGCTGAGCTAGATCGAGTGGTTGGCCGAATTTTTGAAGTTTTTCTAACTCAACCCAGGAATCAATTTCCCAATAATTTGAAATCAAGAATTTCAGGATCGATTGCATTAAACTAGATCAGATTTAAAACCCAAATTCATTTCCGATCATACCTAATATGGAGTCCACAAAAGCATTCTTCAGTCGTCTCATTGAAATAGCAACATCAACATTTACAGATCCTAGAATCCAGGAGATAACCTGTCTATTTTCAATCTTCTACTGCTTCAACCCCTTTGCATCACTAGCATCGGGCATGGTTATAGAGCCATCAACCCTTTTTCTTCAACAAAATATTAGAAGTAAAACTTGCATAGAACATAGTTTTGTTCTTCAAACTTTGATTGATATGATTTTATCACTTTCAGTACCTTAATCAATAGATAATAGATGAAATCCAATTGAAGCAAGCAATTCGAGTGCTAAGATTGAAATGAAGGAGAGAAGTCTCTTATAGTCAATAATGAAATGTTCAAAATTTGCAAGAACACTTGAAATTGAGAAAACAATCCAAAAAAGGAAGGAAAAACCTACTACTGCCCAAGAGAGAAGATCAAAGTTCTTGGGGCAGTAGTAGGAATTAAGAGAGGAAACTTATCTGAATGTTTTCTTATTCTTAGTGACATGTTCAACCCAACTAAATATGAGTTGGTTCATTTGGGGGACCTATCTTTTAACTATTATGTGAAAACAATGAAGAGTCACTTTGATAAGAGGAAAATTATGCACTTTTTAATGCATCTTCAACCTGATTATGATATAGTAAGGTCAAACATAGTAGGGAAACTATACCAAACCTAGATATAATAAGTTAGAAATTGTACCTATGGTGTTCAATTTCTAACTTGATGTGAAATGAGGTTTAGGATCAAGATGACCCTAATGGGATGATTAGAATCGGTTCTGACTTTAGGTATTAATATGAAGGGGTAAACGGAGTCGGATGTGGGTGGTCTTGGTATTGTCAGATTTGAAATTTGGGCTCTACATACCTATGGTATTCAATTTCTTACTTGATGTTAAATGATGTTCAGGATCAAAATGACCCTAATTGGATGATAAGAATCAATTCCAGTTTCGAGTGTTAAGATGAAGAAGCAAAGAGTATCAAATTTAGGTGATCTTGATGTTGTGTAATTTGGAATTTTGGGATCTATGTACCTATGGTGTCAGGATCCTAAAGCTCCCAACTTTTGTAAAATTCCAATAATACCCCTAAATCGACTAAGAGGTTAGCTGAAGCATGCTTGAAACTCGAAGTGCTACAAAAAGACTAATGAAGAACGCAAAAATGGGGTGTCTACAAGTATCAATGTGATTGTAGAAACTTGAAAAGTAGAGAAAAGATAAAATAAAGAAAAACACAAAGACAAAGGCACAAAAGATTTTTATACGGGTTCAACAAAAAACCCCTACCTACATCTCTACCTTACAACTAGTAGGACTTCTAAGTGCCTACAATACCTTGGCAGAACCTACAGTTGCCTTCATAACCTAACTTGGTAAAACTTACGTGTGTCTACCCAACTTATCCTGGTAGAGCTTACAGGTGTCTACTAAACCTTGAATGGTGTTCGACCTAGAATACCTCTTGCACTCAAGGATTACAATTATAGCACAAAGTAGTAGG